TATTCTATTCTATTCTATTCTATTCTATTCTATTCTATTCTATTCTACTCTACTCTACTCTACTCTACTCTACTCTACTCTACTCTATTCATTGCTATTGCTAATGTCCTATACATTGTCACAGAGGGCAACCAAAAGAGAATATTCCTCACTCCTCCTTTTAGGTACCAAAAAGAGAGTCATTCTTTTCATGCAACATTTTTCTACAGCTCATTCTAAGATTTATAAGTTTAAAGACAAGGGATTTAATGTTCCTAGAAAGAAGAAGGCACTCAGTCTGATTCCAACAAGAAAGAAAAGGGAGGATTTGCAAAACAGGAAGTCAGAAAGTGTTCAGTTTTGTTTCATAGACTGTCTATTGTAATTTAGACACTGTCAATATTAAAATGTTCTCGATCAGAGTGCTAAAGGTTTCTCATAAGTACCAGTAACATTTGGTATCATTTCCTCTTCAAAGTCCAACAGTTTTACACTGGAACCCATCCAGAGCGTCTTTAGAGGCATCTAAAAACATACAGCACTGTATAAGTTATATAGCTGCAGAAGATAACAAACATTTCAGTTAAATTATTCTTGTTCACTTCAAATAGAACCTAATTCCCACTCATGTCAAATTTAACATGATTTCTTTAAGGGTCAGTTAGAAGAACCAGACCAGTTTTTCCTCCCAATCCTGAGGAAAGACAAATGTGAACACTTTTCACACTGAAATGAATTTGGTTTAAGTAGGAAGCTAATCTACCAGATACGGTATTTTAACTGCATTTAAATTGGAAAGGAGGCATAGTAGAACCATAGTAGGACATATTTTTATGTACACTCCATTTTATTCATTAAAAAATCTATCACATCAAAAAAATATCCTGCAATATTTCCCCATTTTAAAAAAATTACACTGTAATTCCAGAACATAATTCTGTTCCTATCACCACCCCAGTTTCATTCAAGGGCTGAAAATCAAGATGATTTTTGTAAAAAGCTCCTTCTGGATTTAAATATATCACTGATAAGCAACCTGTCCTCTGAGAGGCTGGCCTTACCATGGCTCCTAAGGCACGGTGTATCCTTAGTATCTGCTCAGCGGTTTGTTCTTCCCACTGAACGCAGCTCATTGCAATAGTGACTTTAGGAGCTTTAGAGGAAAAGAAAAGAAAATTGATCAGTTTTCGCCCTATATCTTTAAACAATTTAAATGTTCTTTTCCAATATCCCAGGAACATTTAGAAGCAATTCTTTTCGGTGGACAAAGTAATAGATGCTCTTTAAATTAAGGGACCTTGGCTTCCCTGACACCCTCAGAAATCAACCTTTGGTTGCCAAGCTTTCAAGTTCCTTACAAAGTATCCGAGTTTAAAAGGGAGGAAGGAAGTAGGGAGAATCGTGGAAAATGTGTTTCAACAGTCTACTTAGTAAAGGGTCATGTCACAGCTAGTTAGTATCTACATTATACATGAAACTTGCGATAAATACCATGTGTTACTCCTTCCTTGGGTTGTTCTTTTTTCTTGCTTAAACTTTCTGGTAAGTTTTTCAAAACAGCAATCAGCTGAGGAAAAAAAATCCAGAATATGTATAAGTCCAAATGAAGAACAGATGCACCTTCTCATAACCACCGATCGCCAAGAGACAGGAAGTGACAGTTCCATCCTTACTAGACTTACCTGAGCCAGATTTTAGTCTATGAGTTCTTATTCTACGAAGCTCAAACCCTTTACTGAAAATGGAATCCATGGACTTTTGCACTTTAGATGGCTACAACTAGTGGAATATGCTTCAGGAACTATCCAGGTCCTGGAGCTCAGCTGTATGAAAGGAAGGGATTTACAAATCTACCAGAATGGTTTATACCAAGGTTGGCTGGGGGAATCCAGGAGTTGAAGTCCACAGACTCTAAAGTTGCCAGGTTCGAAAAACATTAATCGATGCAGTCAACTTCTCAGAAAGATATTCAGATGTTATTACAGATAGGCCTCAGGCTTATGATCAGCCACTTAATGACTGTTTGAAATTGAAATTGAAACGGGCTCAGAAGAGGTGCTTTCCAACTGAGAAAACGCTTCTGGCATCTCTCTGTGTCTCCTGTAATTGTTTTCACTGGAGAAAAATGTCATTAAACAAGGGCATTCATTTACCATGTTTGCACCTTCTTTGGATAACAGGGGCTCCAGTTCTTTGGCCGAGCAACGGGGAGGAACAGCAAATTCTTCTTGTTTAATAATTGGGCCCACATCAAACCTGCGAAAAGAACATATCGCCAGAAGTTTTTTATCAGATTACACGTAGCACCTCAAAACCTAATTAGTGGAGAGACTGGATGGAGAACGCAATTGCTGCACTGATACATTTGTTTTAAAAAGGCTTTTAGTAGTGGGCTTTGCATCTTAGAATCATAGGACTGGAAGGGACCTTGGAGGTCTTCTAGTCCAGCCCCCTGCTCAAGCAGCAGAACCATCTCAGACAAGTTGACTGACCAGTCTCTTCTTAAAAACCTCCAGTGAGGGAGCGCCCACAAAATTATAATTATATTTTAATTCTTACTTGATATAATTCCCACAGCCAGGTCTTTGCAGACTGGATGCTGAATGAAACAGCCAACCTACCTCTTAGGCCTGATCTGCATAATTGTGACCCCGGTCACTGTATCTCCATGGAGCACTGTGTGGATGATTGGTGCAGGGCCACGCCACCGCGGAAGGTAGCTGGGGTGGACATTCAGCACGCCACTGGGTCAAAATATTAGGAAATTAGAACATGATGACAGCAACCTGGTAATATTTTTTATTTATTATGTTTTTATATTGTTGGACTTCAAAACGACTCCCAAATTTTTTAGCATAAAAACAATCAAGTTAAAAATTCAGCAATGTAATAAGCACAACATATATTGCAATGTAGAAGTAAGGAGTAATTTTTACTGATATCTCGGCATTCAATAGAACTAAAACACAAGGAAAAAATGTAAAAAACCTACAAGCATATATGATTTTACAAAGCAAGAAAATCTACAATGCAATTCTTTCCCTTCTCCAGTACAGCCAGCCAGGTCTTTGGATTATAACTCTCGCTGTAACCAATCACTTATCTCATTTTTATCATTTTTAAATCTTCTTCTGAAATCTGTCTGACTGAAATGGCATATATAACATTATGCTAGAATGTGGCAAGTTCTACTTTGTTTTTTATGAACTGCATGCAAAAGATAAATGTTATTTCTCATCCAGAATTTGGAGGCTGTGGCTCCCAAACAATGCACAAATTATAAATCAAGAACCTTGGTCTAAGATTTCAGTTTCTATGGACAGCAAAAGGCAAAGAATTTTAATTTAGACATAACATAAACTTTGCTTAATCATGACATAGTGGCTTAGTTACTCATATCGGCACAAAATGTCAAACTGAGCTATTTTGCAGTATGTACTGGGACTATATTTGTAAAGAATCTAGATTCCTCTGCAATTCTGGCTTGTTGCACTGGCAAGTCTTTCTTGATTGTTCTGATAAACTGCAATAAATTGCAGCCACTCCTAATTTAGCAAATGCTTTGTTTAGAGAATGTTCACACTTATGACTGAAAAAGTGTTGAAAAGGTTATTTAATGGTATAGGGTCGCCTGCTTGAGTAGAGGGATGAAGGCCTCCAAGGTTCCTTCCAACTCTGTTACCAATCCTAGCAATTTGCAAGTGTACAAAGCAAAGGAAAGCTGAAGCAAGTTTGTAAGACTGTGACTCCACTGAGTAATTGCTTTGTTTAAAGACAGAGTTGCTGGTTCCGTGGTTGCTAAATGAGGACTACCTGTACATTGTTTTTATGGCTGCATTCTAAATTGATTGTGCATATTTTACCCCAAAGCATGCAATATTGGCACTTGTTCAGGAGTAAACCAGCAAAGAATGGAACCTTAGAGATGATTAAAAACACTAAAATATTTTTACTGAAAAAGGAAACTTTACCGTTGCTAAGGGAACATGAGAATGATATGCGAGCTGAATTTCAGTCAAAGAAATGTAGGTGCAATGTGCTACGCCCCCATCGCAACACTGACTGTGCCAGAGTTTATAGAGGGGGCGAAATTCCCAAAATCAAAAATGTACTCCATGACACCTAAGGAAATGAAAGAGATCCGGAATAATGTCGGGTTTCCAAGTGATGAAATTAGTTTAAAAAGGAAAAAAACAAATCCATCTTCCAAGACAATTTCTTTTATTTAGGAAAGCATCAAATTGGCAAAGTCCATGGTAATTCTTTCCTAAATAAAAGAAATTGCCTTGGAAGATGGACTTTGTTCTTTTCTTTTTAAATGGATTTCATCACTTGGAAACCTGACAGTAGGAACTTGAGATCGCGATCATTCTTGATCAGAAACAGTTAAGGCGATGCCTGATTTGAATAACCCCCATTAAACTCGATGACCAGGGAAACTGTATCAACCTTGTATTACGGAACTGTAAATCAGAGCTACTTCTGCCATCGCTGGTGATAGCTACCATTCAGAAACATCTGCAGTGCTACAGGTTCCTCAATTCCCCTACACTTTGCACTGGAAATTAGTTTTAGAAGCATCAGTAAAATTATGGGCAGTTGCAAACAATATAACAAATTAGATACCTATGCAGGAATTGTCATAAAGAACCTGGCCCTTCCACCCCTGTATATAATCAAACGTTAGAGAAGAAAGCCTTTCCTTTACTCTAAAAGCCAGAAATAGTTGTGTGATAAATACACTAAGAAAGTGAGGGACTTTTTTGTGTGTGAAAATTCTTACTAGGGGAACTTTCGGATGAGGTCCTCACTAAGCAGACGTCCAAATGATGCCACCACGCCAACGTCAAAATTCTCCCATGCCCCCACATCAGGCCAGATGTGGAGGGGGAGCTGCAGCTGCTCTGCATACTTCTTCACGGGGAGTACCTTTGAGTGACTGGGGGGCAAGGTTACCACCTCCAGGTGATCCACAATCCGGTCTGGCCTTGGCACTCTGCCCTTGCAGGGAGAATAGAAGAAAAAGTTTATTGTCACTTTAAATGTACGCTAATCCGCATACAATGAAATGAAATTTCATTGCATTTGGCTCCCAAAAATCTATGGAGACCTTCAGTCATCAGGTCATGGTTGTCCCAAAGGTGGTCTTTTTTCCCAAGAGGCAACTGGACTTCCTTGTTTTTCTTTGAAAAAGAAGAACAAGAAAGTCCAGTTCCCTCTTGAAAAAAAAGAGCACCTTTGGGACGAGCTTTCAAAAGATAACCTTTATGCATATACCCACATTATAAGTCACATGGCATAAGGAACAAAACTGTTACAGAGCCTAGTTGTCCTGCTATAGATACTTTGAAATCCCTGCCCAGAGGGGAGCAACAGAAACAGGCCATGAAGTCGGTGTGTGGGGTCCCTAACAATGTTTCGAGCTCTAAGGACATGGAGCTTATAAGCAGCATCCTGAATAACAGGAAGCGAGCTTCTTATGATACTCTCCGCTGTCCTCATCACTCTCTGTAGGGACTTTCTATCTGAGCATTGCTGCCACCAAACCAAACAGGGATGCATTTTTTAAAAAACGCTCTCAATCGTGCCTCTGTAAAAAGTGGCCAGGATGTTAGGAGAAAGATGTGCTCTCCTCCTCCGTCACAGGAAATGCAAACACTGGTTTGCACGCTTCACTAAAGATAACCCAGATGAAGAGGCCAAGTCAGATTGTTCATTGTCTGCTCCCCCAGATACTTAATACGTCTGACCACCTTCACAGCTGGAGCAGCACATGACATCCTTTAAAAAGACTTAAATATTAAATCCACTATTTTAATTGGATTGCCAAAGAAAGATGGGAAGCTGCATTTAATCACAAAGAAGCGCTTATTTTAGGAACCTTTATGAATTCACTTGGAAATGTAGGGAACCTTACATTGCCCATTACCCAGACCCAGAGTTCAATGGAGTTTCTGTAATCAAAGCAAGTATTCTACACACTGAATTTCAATTCCTATCTGTGCTCTCCTATGGCCTTGTCAGTGGCTTATAATTCTGCCACTGACATATTGCCTTTGTTCTTCAGGGATATGAGGGTTTTCATGTCATATTTAGAGCATGCATTATGACTGTGAAGATTTTAAGTTTTGGATCAAGCATCTTCAACTGGAGAGAGTAAAGGCTGTTAGAGAAAAGAAAACCTTCTAGTATGCCAAATAAATTAGCCAATAGTGGGATTAATGGAGAAGCAGTTCTGTCAGGTCTAAGTCAACATCTAGAGTTCCCTCCTACAATTCAAATACAACCAGGAAAAACTTTTCTTATGCAATCACCATCTCTAACTTGTATCATAACAAAATCACAACTGGGTGGGTGGATTCACTCAGGAAAATACTATGGTTTATAAGGCTTATTTGCCTAACTGGAACAAACACCAACTCAAAAATCCAACCAATAATTTGGTTAATCAGTAGGCGTGAACCCTGCCAAAAGTTACAGCGAAAGTCCAGGTGCAGTCATCTTTCACCTGGAACCCCCAAAGTTAGCATCTCTTTTGGGTCAAGTTACCTTCCAAATCAACAGTAGCAAAAAGCTGTAAGCTATTTGCTATTGTTTTCTTCCCATCCCAGCTTAAAGTTGTGTATTTGCTGGCGCTCTTCCATCCCTATTTTAGCCAAGTTCAGCCCTGCTGGGCTAAGAACCAGCCAAGGTTGGTCAGGGACTACCACCTGCTGTAGATTTGGTACTCAATCCCTGGATTGATTCATCTCATTTGCTCTCCATTCATAAACTGGTTTAAGAATAAAAGGAATGGAAGGGGTGGGATTTTGGTTTATTAAGATAAGCAGGGTTTTGGCACTCTTATTCTGTTGACTCCACTCAATTGCTTGCAGCCCTGTTTCCCAACCTCAACAACTGTCAGATGCTGGAAACTAAGATGGAATTAACCAGGGCTCATCTAAATCTAAGCAGACAGCAAATATAATATTGGATTGTTCTTTGTGTCCATGGAGATTCTCAGTCATCCAGGTCATGGTTGTCTCAAAAGTGCTTTTTCAAAAGGCAACTGGACTTTGTTTTTTGTTTTTTCCCTTGAAGATGCTTCGCTTCTCACCCAAGAAGCTTCAATTCTTCTTGGATGCTTTCAAGAAAGTCCATTTGCCCTTTGGAAAAGCAACTTTGGGTTGTGTGGAGTTCCACTCTCAAAATTCCCCAGCCAGCCATTATATATTTTGTTTGCATATATATATTTTATTCATAAACATTTTGAATACAGTGTATAGTCAGGGTGTATCCTTTACAGAAAAACAAACAACAAAAAGAAATATTAATGCTTATCTAATAACAATAGTAGTAGTGTAACAAAATAGTTTTAACTAGATTTCTCTTTATATTAGCTTATTTGTAATTCTGTTGGTTATGTTGGCATATTTATAATTATAAACCATCCTACCCTCAAAATGCTATGGAGCACTGCACACTAGAATAATTAGACACAAGGACAGGTTTTCACCAAATGCTAAACAAATAATTCCCTCAACACTGTCCAACAATCGTCTGCATTTCTACTACTATTATTAATCCTCCCATCCTTCCTTTTACCCGTCTCCTCCCACTTATGACTGTAACCTTGTTGCTTGTATCCTAATGATTTTTATTGTTTCCTAGTATGATTTGATTGCTTATTGTACCCTATGACTACCATTAAGTGTTGTACCTTATGACTCTTAACTAATGTCTCTCTTCTTTTATGTACACTGAGAGCATTTGCACCAAGACAAATTCTTTGTGTCCAACCACACTTGGTCAATGAAGATTTCTATTCTATTCTAAACATGGTCATGACTATCACTAAGTGTTGTATCTCATGATTCTTGGTGAATCTCAGTATTTTATTTTTTCTTATGTACACTGAGAGCATATGCACCAAAGACAAATTCCTTGTGTGTCCAATCACACTTGGCCAATAAAGAATTCTATTCTGTTCTATTCCTCTATTCTCTATTCTACTCTACTCTACTGTTTCAATCTATCCCACTCCATTCCATTCGTCTATTCTCTAATTCTATTCTCTTCAGTTCATACATAGCAATAATCGTGGCTGACTGGGGGATTCTGGGAGTCGAAGTCCACACATCTCCCAGCTGCTGAGGCGTGTGGTGGGGGCGCGCGCACCGGGCTTGGAGCGACCCCCCGACATCCTCCTCCCCTGTCTTATCCCCTCGCCCCCCCGCTCCCCTTGGGGCTCCTCCACCCGCAAGACCCACCGGGCTGCCTGGAGCGCTCGGAGGATCTCTGCGGAGAAGCGGTCGGTGCCAAAGAAGAGGATTCGCCAGGGGGGCTTCTCGCGCCTCGGGGCCTCCCCCGCGGCGGTCGCGCGGCCCCTACCCCACCCGCCCCGCCAGGCTCGCAAGAACCGAGCGCTCATCACCGTCCCCGGCAGCCGCTTCCGCATTCCCCTTGGGCGTCGCGCCCTGATGACGTAGGAGGGTTTGAGCGACCATTACTTCGGTCCAAGCGAGCTCGCCGCGAGGGCTTCTGGGATTGCTCGAGCCCGGGGAAAGTGGCCGCGTAGCCATAGCAACCGGGGGCTCGCCGTATCCATGGCGACCTCTGAGAGCCTTGCTGAGGCGCGTCAAAGCTGCCACGTTGGGACAACTCGCTTGAACTAGTGACGGGAGCTCCCTCTTTTCTGGATTCCCACAAAGATTATGCACCAGTTGCTATTGTTCACCCAATAAATACAATGAGCCACAAATAAACTAACACAGAATTGGTTTAGTCTGCAGACAGAAGACTAGCCATTGGTTAGCAGCTGGAGTGTTAATGCCTCTTTGCAACATGTTAGTGTTAATGCCTCTGTCCAACTGCTGCATTGCACTGCAGGCAGAAATCAAACAGGGAGAACTTCAGAACTGACCATAAGGTGCTGCATTTGGATTTTTTTTTTTCCATCAAGAAAGAGTTTGATTCCTCCAGCCCCGTTTAAAAAGAAATTACTTTGGTTAGACAGATGGCAGTGATGATTATGGTGAATCTTGAGGAGGGATAGATATTATAAAGGTTTATCCTGTGTTTAATGGTGCACCTGCATTTAAATTGTAGGTCTGTTTCATGCAAATAAGGAATTGAGAACCAGAGTAATAACTGCACACTTTATGATTTTATTATCTCTACTTTTTTTTCTACATTATTTTCTAAAACAAAATGACCACACTGCAGATCTTTGGAAACTATTTGTAATCTTAAGCATAAAAAACCCCTGTACCCTGTTTTGAAATAGTTTTAAATTACCTGGCAATTTATGAGTACATTATAAAACTATAGCTAAAAACTGTTGCTTATCTCCATTATAGAATGCCAATGTCTCTTGGTTATAAACTAATAAAAGAAACAAATGAATTCATATTGATTTCTTTTTTTAAAAAAAAAGATAACTTAATGTCAAAAGACGTGACCTGAGACGTGACCTGAAGTGCAATCCTAGATATGCATCCTCAGATATAAAAGCTACTGAGTATGATGCATATATGATTACAACAACCCTGGTTACTCTGTAACCAAGAGCCTAGGTTAAAGACCCTGCAAACAGAGAAGTTTCAAGGACTGATAAAGCAAAGTAAATATACTAAATGCACATTGTACTTTCTTCTGAGGCATATCAAGGGCAAAAGTGGGCAGAAGAAAAACCACCAAAGATTTTCTTGGCAGGATTCCTGCTGCTTAGTCAAGCACTAAGGAAATGCAGGGCAGAATTTGCAGCAGGCTCTGATTGTAGATCTGAGAAAAATAGAAGACGAAATGGATCAAAATGTGTATAACCTTCCACCTGTCTTCTTGAATGGAGCATGAATGGAGCTTATCAGGGAAAAGACTTAACTGTGCTGTTGGATATACGTATCTCTATGCTGATGTCACAATTACTCCATTGACAGTTTTCTAGTCAGAAATAAAAGCATTCAGCAAAATAATATAATCTTTGAAGGTTGTTTTGAGGGTTTGATTCAGCCTTCCATCCTTCCGAGGTCAGTAAAATGAGGATGCAGATTGTTGAGGGCACAAGATGCTGACTCTGCAAACCACTTAGAGAGGGCTGTAAAATACCATGAAGTGGTGTATAAGTCTTAGTGCTATATTGCTATTGCTATTTGCACAGTGGCCTCATCCTATCAAGTCATGAAAAGCATAGCAGGGAAATTCTTTTGCACAGCTTCCAGTTTTTTAAGGAAGGCCTTGTGGTCAACTCTCAATCCATTCTGCTTCTCTTCAGATCCGTCCCACTGAACTGAGATTCTCTGCACCATTCCTCAAACTGGCATAAAATTGGCCATGCTCCTTGCTCAGAGTGCCTGCATCCAATGGTCTGAAAAGTTAACATGGCAGCAGCAATGGTGCCATTTCTGCTAGTATAAAATGATAGTTTTGGGGAAGGCTGAAATCCATTTTATTTTATTTTTTTTGGGCTATTGAATGGCATGGGAGTGAAGGACCCACTCTGAAAACTTCTTTGGGGAACAGACAAGTGATGAAATATCATCCTTTCATCATGATGTAAATTACCCCTTATGCACTTGTGATGCAGATACAAACTAATGGACCTTGCACTGTGATGTCACAATGCACATTTCAGGATTTTGGCATCATTTGGGTTAGGAATGGAAACCAACAACAGATATATGATAATTGTTTTATTTTTTGTATTAAATTTTTATCCTGCCCCTCTCACCAAGGCGACTCACCTTGAAATAAAATGATGAAATCAGTTCCATTCTTTGGACATGCTGGGACACTGTGACATGTACAAAAGGAATGGCCATTGTATCATGATGGCACAGTGCTGCTTTCATCAAACATTAGTTTGACACACAAACATACCCCTGCACCCATGGAAAATACTGGATGGATGATAGATGGATGGATGGATAAACAGATAAAGATAGATAGAGGTAGATATAGAGATAGAAAGGAGATAGAAAGAGAGAGCATGTGTCTAAAGAAATGGAGATAATTTTTTGTCAAATAAAATCTAGCAGCTTGTTCTGGAGCATCTTAAAAGAGAAGTGGAACTAAGTCTCAAGGGGAAAACTATGTGTCTAGCTATGGGCTGGTGGCATGCTTTCATTCTTGGGAAAAAAATATAATTGGTAATAATGGCATTCATGTTAATTAAAGACAAACTTTCAGAAGAGGAATGGCCTTTTCTGCATGTGGCATTTTTTGGACCAAGACAGAATCACGAGTCTCCCTTCTGACAAACAGCCAAGAGGCTCTGATTGGGGAAAAGTTCACTCACCTTTGGCAGAAAGTTGCATGGGTGTGACAGGTGTGGAGACTTTGAAAATGCCTTTTCCCTGGGTTATGAGTTCTCTTAGCTGCAAGAGAGGGCAACAAATGGCTGCATCCTATAAGTTACAGCATCTGAAGGGGTGAATGCCATGGTTCTCCCAGCCTGCCAGATGTTCTGAATGCTGCAAAGGATCGCATCTTGCTGTCTTCCATTCATCTGGGCCAAGCTACGTATCTTTTGGTAAGGTTTTTTTCTTCTTCTTCAAGATTGAACAAGTAGAGCAAAAGGAAGCTAAGAACGTTTATGGGGCCAGGAGGACAATGACTAGATTTTAAAAGAGAGGGGGGAGGGAGAGGGAAGCGTAACTTTTGTGCCAGGTATGTGAAAAGTGCTGAGTCGAGCTCGCTGCTCATGCTTGGAAATATTTTTGATTTCCTCTCCTTTCACCTGGGTCTGTGGCTCTGTCACTTTCATGGAAATTTGTCTCCGTTCAAATTCAGATTCATCCCTAGGGCTCCTTAGAGAAGGAATAGGTACAAGGCATATTAATATGCATCATCTAAGTGATTGAAAGACCAGCTAAGCACCTGGTAAGCACTGTTCACCAGCTTCAGATTTTCCAAGGGGAAAATGTATAAATCATTGCCTTCTACTTTTAATATTTGGTTGATCTGCTTCTTTGGGTTTTTTGGATTTTTTTTTCCTTCCTTCCTTCCTTCCTTCCTTCCTTCCTTCCTTCCTTCCTTCCTTCCTTCCTTCCATCCATCCATCCATCCGTCCT